TGTGCGTTTTAGATTTAAGTCCTAGTTTTAAGTATTTTAAGTATAAGATAGATTTAAGATTTAGTATTAAGATTTAGATTTTAATATTTTTATTGTAATTGTATTTGTATTCGATGTAAATGATAAGATGCGTGCGTTTTAAATTTAAGTCCTAGTTTTAAGTATAGTATAAGATAGATTTAAGATTTAGTATTAAAATCTAGATTAAGTTTAATTTAAGACTTCATCGATGAACATCGATGGACAACGTTGGACAACGTTGGACAATGATAACCAAGAGATTCACAGAAATTTTTGAAATTTTCGGGATGAAATAAACGAAAGAAATACTTGGCAGAAATTACTTATTATTAAGACAACATCATAGAAAGTCTCTCAAGAACTTATTCCAGGAATTCCAATATACAATTCTTGGTAATTATGTATGATGTAATTCATTCCGTTGGAAGCTGAAGAGGATTCCTGAAACAGATTATAAAATATTATAATTAAATGAAATTCAATAATAAAAATAATTAACAAATCACAGCATTATCTTGAATTTATTTTTCCTTATTTATTTTCTCAAATCCATATCTGTAACAAACTCAATTATAGGATTAGTAATTAAAAAATAATTTACATCAAAGAATAAAAAAAAAAATTAAATTATCAAAATGTTGTTAGGCAATTTGTGATTTTAAATGAAGGATATTCATCGACAAAAAAGTAAAATATGTTTCTTAACAATAAACAAATGCTCTTAACAAGGGGGATGCTGAAAAAAGAAAAAGATAAGCGACGAAAAGATAACCAGAAGGGTTACCAAAATAATTATCCACTCAAAGATAGAAATACGAACAAACCGTGAGTGGAATTTTTTTCTATTTCGCAACACTAATATGCTAAAATCTCGAAAGAAAACGCGAAAAGTGCTTCATTATACTTTCAATGCAATTCTTTATCAAGAAAAAAAAGATAAGAAAAAATAAAATATTATAAAAAATAAAATAAAATCGCGAAATCCAGAAAATATCTGATTTTTTCACTAAAAAAGATTTAATATCATTATATCATTCTATTAATATCATTCATTTATTATAATCATTTTCTGAAAAACGCGACGTACAAGAAGATCTATCCTGATCTAATAAATATAAAAAAAAGAAATATTATTACACGGGTATAATAAATACTCGCGATCACTGTGCTCGTGCAAAAATCTACAATAAATACAACCAGTCTACCAAATCCACAACCAAATCTACAAAATATACAACCAGTCACCCGTGTCGATTCAGACTTTTCGTCCTACGACATGATTGAGTAACTGGAGGAACATAAATACATGCGACTCACCGATAGATGCGAAGAATCTGCATTATCGTGGTTCAAGATGAAAAGTAGTCAAAAAAAAAAGTCGCCAAAGTAGTTATTATCAGTGGAAACTGTAACAAAACATGAAACATAATTAAAACACAATACTGATTATTTAAAAAGTTGAACTGGAAAATATATATAAATAATTACCTCTTCGCGTGGTGGATGATTGCCCTA